GTTTCTCTCTCTCTCTCTCTCTCTCTCTCTCTCTCTCTCTCTCTCTCTGTCAAATAAATAAAAATCTTTATAAAAATAATGAAAATGAATAAATCAGTGGTTCTGAATAAATGAATAAATAAATCAGTATTGCCCTCCAGGGGACATTTGACAATGTCTGAAGACATTTTTGGTTGTCACCACTGGGTGGGAGGGGGGGATGCTGACTGGCATTTAATGGCATAAAGGCCATGGGGATGCTGCTTATCACTCTACAGTGCACAGAACAGCCTTCTACAGCAGCAAAAAAATGTCTATACTGATGAGGTTGAGAAATCCTGATTTAAATGAAAGAATCTTGAGCATGATGCTCAGAAAAAGTTGGTGGGCTAGGTAATACATTGGGAGGCAGAAATAACCTTCAAAAGATAGAAGTGTCAAACCAAAATCAATGAAATAATATAAACTCTTACATTGTAAAGGGATAGAGGTAGAATGGGGATGTGTGGGACAAAACATACTGAGAATTTGAAGGAGACTGAGCTTGGCAGCTTATATAAAAAGGACTAGAGGATTTTGTTTCATCAGAATTTTAATGAGATACTACACTATAACTGCTAAAAATGCAGTCTTGGGCTGTTGGACTATGAGAATAGTTTACAAATCCATGGTACAATAATTCAAGCTCAGTAATGGCATTAGTAAGTTCTTATTTGTAGGATGAATGAATTGGTGAAGCTCTATTTAGAGTATTATCTTCGGTCCTGTATACCTCACTATAGCGAACAGAACCAGAGGGCTCCTTGTGGACAGTCAGGATTGTGAGGGAACTGAGATGTTTAACCCAGATATATGGGCATAATGTATGTTACATAGAAAAATAAAATTAGAACTAATGGATAGATCAGTTTCAAGTATGTACACAGCAGTTCAGTTTAAAGATGAACGTAATTAGAGCTACCCAACACCCACTTTCACAAAGTGGTTGGTTAGCACCCCATCACAGAGAATACCCAAAAAGCTCAAAAGTTCTGGCCATCAGGGTGCTCACAACACAGTGGAGATTTAATAGCTAATTGCTTACATAGAACTTTACTGTATGCTTAGCACTGTTCGAAGCAAAAATCCTCACAGCAGCCCTATAAAATCATATTCTTTATTCTCATTTTACCTAGAGGAATTTGCAATTACAAAAGCTTAATCTACTTGCTCAAAGTCAAGTGGCTGGTCTAGGATTTAAACCCAGATAATCTGGCTTTAAAGTTACGTTCTTATATGTTGTAATTCTAATAGTAAACATACAGAGTGCTAGACAGATGACCTTTAAGACCTGCAGAATAGCCTTTAATTTTGTGTCATTGCCGCCCATAGGGTATTGCAGGCAACAAGGATCTTCCACACAGGGCAGCCAAGTCTTGCCCCTGTACCACCTCTGCCTGAACATGGAGGAAAAGTTCGTTTGGGGCTGATCCCCGAAGAATTCTTCCAGTTCCTTTATCCCAAAACTGGCGTAACAGGTAAGCATTTGCCCGGTGTTTGATAGTATGTGTAGATGGTATAGTTTATGTTTACCTCGGATTTTAGTGGTCTCTTACCTCTTCCACATACACACGAAATGAAGTCAATAAAGTAAATTGTGGAAGTAATTCAGTGGAACAGTTGTGACTTGTCTTTGAAGTAAACGTGGTTGGGATTTTAACTTTATAGTATTGTCTCCATTTGTTGATACACCACATCTACTGAATGCCAGCTCTGTGCCAGGTACTCTTCTGGGCATACAGTGGCAAGCTGAGGTAGCTGCCATCATGGAACACACGTTCTGTCATAGGATAGACAGTAAAGAAATGAGTAATTGTAGGATACATTGTCAAGTAATGGAAAGAGCT